TCTGCTGTTGAATGGTATAATCCTTTTATTGTATTGTAACATTTAGTCTTTTACAAGGATTTTCACAAACCCTGAAACCGTACAAAAACAAAAAGAAATAGTCATTTATGTGCAGACAGAAAAATCAGAATCAGTTAAGTCTATTTCTCACAATTGCCTTGGCTTTGGCCTTTTTTACCCCTTTTAAAAAGACTTGGAAAATAACCTCAGTGGTTAATCCCACATGACTTGAGTGCTACTTTCAAATGTCATGGTAAAGACGCTATTGAGCTCTATCTGTAATACAGCACAGCACTCTAGTGGCCACAGGGGTAATATTTGTTTGTGTGTGTGTGTGTGTTTGTGACTTTGAAGCTTACTGAGGTATTAAGGTGTCCTCTTTTTTGGCCGATATCTGTTCTGCTTTTTAAGAGCATGTGTGAGGAAGAGGTTTCAGATACACTGCAGCTGACATCCCTGGTGACCTGATACATGATACGGAGCTATGGTTTGAAAAGTGTAAAGAGACGAAAATTAAAACCTGCATGATGTGGCTTTTTTGGTCAGTGACAGAAACACTCGATGCGTCAAACACATCAGACTCACACAGTCAATTTAAATGAGAAGCTGAAATGCAGGTTGGTGATCTGCATGAACGGCAAATAAGATACTTAAAGGACAGTCGGAGACAGAGGAAAAAATACTTGAATTGTCATAGAGATGGAGGTACAGAGGATGTGGTTCTAAAACTGAGGCTCTTAAGCACCATCATTTTTGTAATAAATGTATTATCTCTGTGTGACGCCATGCAGATATGTCAGGATGTTTGTAGATTGTTTCTGATTGACATGTTGATAAGAATAAACGTATTTACACTATAAAGATGGACGACTTTCTCCCACTATCCAAAAATGAAGCAAAAAGTTAGCCGATATGAACACCGTCATGTTGTGCATTTACAGCCACAATCTGAGCAGTAGTGTTTGAGGCTAGAGCTCCGGGGCCAGGTCGATACACAATCACTAACTCTGTTTTTACACCATCAAACAGCTAATTAAAATTAAACTTACCGAAATACAATCAGCACCTAAGACGACATAAATCGTCTTTGAGAAAAATGTGATGTGTACTTTGACTCTTTAGTTTATTCTCCATCAATTAACATGGAGGAGGCAGGTTTTATGACCTGTACTTCAGCCAGCCACTAGGTGGCAATCGATACATTTTGGCTTCAGTTTATTGGGGAGCAGTGGTGTTGTTCATCTTTATATACAGTCAATCATTTACACAAACAACAACCCAAGCAATCAATAACATATAATCCAAAGGTTCTAATATTTTCATATTTTTATGATTTTTTCTGCAATTGCATGCGAGACTACTGGTGAACAAGCCAGAGGATTTGAAAACGGCTGAGGCTGGTGGAGAAAAGAAACCAAAGTGAGTAAAAATTCATCTCAACCAGTGCTGTCTTCACATAAATCACATTATAATGAATTAAACTATTCCTCATTTTCCCTGGAAACAGCTCAAGGACCCTTGAACCCATAAAGCAGCCACTGTACCCATTAGCGTGAGTCTACTGTAATTCATTATGCAAAGCAAGGCCTTAGTAAAATGCAAAGAAATATTACATGGAATGAGTAATAGAGCTCATTACAAAGCCTCAGTGGTATTTCCTATCGTAAAAAAATTCCCATGACCCACTGGATCAACCCCGGTGTGACCTATTTTTAGTCCTGAATAACTGCTAATGTTTGTCGAATTGGACGTTTTCAACAAAACATCTAGAAACACAACACATCTCTGTTTTCATGACATAGCAGTTAATGAATTACCACAACAAGGGCCATAACAATAATCTCATGTCAACTGATATGTCATGTAATTTTTGCAAAGCTGTTTCTTGGTGTTTTAATCTATTGAATAATTCCTACGTGGAACATGTTTGCATGTAGAAAATTCTACTTACTGTGGAAACTGAACCACATACTGTATTCATTAATTGAACGTGTTAATTTGCTGGCTGTGGCTTAATTTGAGAAACACTTTGTCGGTTGCCAAATGAACATGTTTCTCTGCCTTACTATTTTTGGAAATATAAAAATTCACCTTTGCAGCTTGACCTTATGAAGCGTGACCTTTAATTAAAGAGATGGACACGGAAGGTTTTCTCACAGAGGTGTCATCTTACTGTGCGGAGATGACAGACCTAAACAAAAACACCTTGAGAGTGAAAAAAACAACTTAAATGAAGGTATTCCCAAGACATCTGATAGCTGTCACATGGTTATGCAACAGTCTGAAGATGCTTTATTAGTTGTGAATGGGAGGCTGTCTTCTTTTTATCAGTCTGAACTTTTACTCCCACATTATTAAGTTTAATATCAAAGTGGCACTATCAGTTTTGAGCTAGAAAATGTGACCGTATCCCCTCATGATGTGATAGTCTGTGCTTTCCCCATCTTTCTTGTTTGATCATAGCTGCCCTGTTATACCGTCACAGACTCTGTGGACAAACAGCATCTGATTTCTTGCTCAAATCTATTCAACGCACACACACACACACGACCCAATACTCCATACATTAATGCTGAACTGTTATGTATGGATATTAGAGTTTATATCAAAACCTTCCGTCAAGGACACAGATAGTCCACTGGGGAGTAAGAGGAAGTGGTCCAACCAATTTCATACCTACCGCTGCCTACTCAGAGTGCATAACAATTCAGCTAGCCGCTTCTATCTGACATTGTGTCACATTCAGAGGGACTGCTCCTTTCTGATGAGTAGAAAATAAAGAAGACAACAATTAAATAATGAAGCACTTTTATTCACAGTGAAAATTCCTCAAACCTTCATCTCTCCTGAAGCTCTAAGTTTACCAGTCTGTAACCAAAAACGAAAGGGCCGACTAAATTGTCCTTGGATGGCCTACAAATCTCAGAAGGATCATATTGATTGGCCCTGTTGATCTGTTGTTATGTGTGAAAATTGAAATTAAAGATAATTATTTAAGGCGGTATAGTGATACTGTGGTTACTACCTAGTTCAAATCCCAAGTCTTCCTGTGTGGAGTTTCCATGTTCTCCACATGTCTGTGTGGGTTTCTCCAGGAGCTCGGGCTTCCTCCCACAGTCCAAAGACATGCAGATTGGCTTTAGGTAGATTGGAGACTCTAAGAGACCTTTCACCCAACGTCAACTGGGAATGGCTCCATCTCCCCCAACTACCCTGAAGGATAAGCTGTGTAGATAATAGATGGATGCATTGATGAACTATTTATACTTCCACATTCAGTCTACATACATATTTTACATGTCTGCGCCAGAGGCATTTTGTTTTGTGGTTGTCTGTCCGTCCCATTCTTGTGAACACAATATCTCAAGAACACTTTGAGTTTTTATTTTCAAATTTGGACCCTGGGATAAGCTTATTTGTTTTTGGCAGTCAAAGGTCAAGGTTACAGTGACCTCATTTTCCTGTGAATGTGATACATCAGGAACACCTACTGGGAATTTCATGATATCTGGCACAAACTTGGACTCCAGGATGAACGGATTAGAATTTTGGAGGTTAATGTCAAGGTCACTGTGACTTAACAAAACAAGTGTTTAGTCTAAGTTTTAGTTTTTAGTTTAAGAACGTCACATCTCACCTTGGTGGAATTTCTGTTTGGGTGTTTTAAGCCTCTTGGACATATCTCAGGTCAGCCTACTTCGACTCAAAGATGAACTGATTTCAGTGGTTAAAGGTGAAGGTGATCTTATATAAATCTGGACGCACATTAAAGTGTCTCTGCCTGGAAAATAAGGTGCCACTATTCAATAAACCTTGATGCTAAAAATAGCAAAATTAAGCGCAAGACTTTATCTGCTCCTAAAATTAAAGCTCCATTGACAGTTAATTAAAAAACATCTTGCTTCTGTGGTTTCTTGCTGTGGAAGAGCTGTTTTCTTTCCTTAATATTGATTGAAGTGTACCAGGCCAGAGGATCAGCTTATTTTTAACTTAAATACATTTACTTTTGACAATACTTGATTAAAGTTCAGTTCAATCATCCCCACTTCATAGCTGTCATTCCTGGGAAAAAGACTACACAGATTAAATATAATCACTGTGAACAACACAGGAACCTTGAAAGCTATCTATGGGGAAAACAGAAATAAATACAATATGCTTTTATCCATTAAGCATTTCAGTGTTCGGTCCTGCTGTAAACATCAAGTAAATGCAGAAATGCATATTTCTCATGACAAAAATACAAAGTACCAATACATTTACTGTTTCTCTAACCCAAACCATAGGGTTTACTTGCTAATGCAATTTGATTTAAACCCTTATATACAGTCTGTGATTTAAACACATTTTACTCTTGAAATTGACTTTTGCAGGGCCTTTAATACAGATCATTATGTAAATAATGTAATGTTATGTGTAATAGTTGTATGAATTCCAAAAGGCTGTTGTAAATTGTAATGGGTTTAAAGTAGACTCAGCCTATTTCTCTTGGATTTGTAGCAGTAAAAGTAAAAAGTAGCATAGATTGAAAAGATTCAAGTGCTTCAAAATGGTACTTATAGACAGTATTTAAAAAGAGTATGTACTTACTTTCCACCACTGCTTTGGTAATGGTTGAAAGACGTTTGGATCATATTACTGATGTTGTTGCTGCAACCATGTAGTATAAAATATATGAATGGATGCCCCTTTAACTGTGCACGAATCTAGAAATAATAAATGTATAGTTGTATATCATATCTGTAAATTGAAGAAAGAATAGTACATTCATAAAAACTTGTTGATAAGAGTTTAGCTAACTGCTGATAACGTTATCACAAATACTAAAAGTGTAGAAATGTATTGTAGAAATAACAAGAACATCAACACAGTAAGAACCAATACAAGACTGCAGATTGTCTTTTCTTGCACAATGCATTTCTTTCTCTCCCTCTTTCTTTCCTTTTCCCCCTCTCTTTCTTTCTCTCTCTATCTCTGTCACTTTCTTTCTTTCTGTCTCTCTCTCTCTTTCTTTCTTTCAACCGGAAGTGGCGTCAGGCTGCGTCATCACGCTGTGCCTACGCTCCGCTGAACGAGGCAGGTTTGTTTTCGGTTTGTGCTCATGGTGGTTTCCTGAATGACGGAGCTGCTCTGAACTGACTGCAAGTGAAGCGGTTTGGCGCAGAGACCAGTTTTCACTGTGACCAGACGAACACACAGGGTGAGGACTTTTTATGTTTAACAGGTGACGTCGTTTTTTGGTTTACCCGAGCTACTGGTAGCTGTGAAGCTAACGTTAGCCTCCAAACAGCATCTGAGTGCAGCACGTTCCTGTGTCAAGTGAAAGACTTGTGCTGAGTTTCCTCTGTCACTGCCCTGATAGAAATAATCTGCGGGTGGTGAGCACACAGTTATCTCACACTCCTGTTTGCTAGCTTTACTAACAGTTTGCTGACCGTGAGCTGTGATAGAGCCTTTAAATCACAATGTAACGTGAACGAGTCGTGTTTCATTAAAAAAAAAACTTATTTTGCAAACAACTGTGATGTTTTGATGCGTCACCTGCAGTGTTTTTGACCAGTAACTAGCTCAAGACTCAAATATAGTCAATGTAAAGTAATGTTAAAATCACATACTGCACATTTGATGATCAATTAAATCAGGTTACAAGATAAAAAGCCAAATATTATCCAATTCCAAGTTTTTAATTATGAGAATCTGCTGCTTTGCATTGTTTTAGGCTAATCAATAATAGATAATGCTCATTATAAGCAGCAGTAAATAATGCAATAACTGGTCATTTCAACAGTGAGACTGCAAGTATTTTGTAATGGTAACTCTTTCAATTATCTTCATGTGAAATTTCCTGTTTTGTTTCTCTCTCCTAGAATTAACAGAATGTCTTCTCCGGAGCCCATCATCAGATCAAGACAGACACAGAAAGACGTTAATGGAGTTTCAACGCAGGTCGTCTGTACGGAGTTCAGTAATTACATATTCATAGTTCTCACTCAGTACGGCAAAATCGGGAGTTTGATATCTGTCACACCTGACTCCAGATCCAATGATATCAGCACCCCAACTTTCTCCACCAAGGTGCTGCTGGGCAAAGATGAGGTAACCTCAACGATATTGTTCTGATAAATATTGTATCAGTGGGATGTAGACTTGTTCACAGGCCATCAGTCAGATGGTGCGGCACAGGGTAATTCTTTTCATGGTGTGGTGGGGCAGGTGAGGTTCTGACCCGCTCTGCTTGCAGGTCTGTGGACTCTCTGAGATCTGTTAAAATGTATATATATACTGTTTTTGTAAAGTAAAAACAAAAAATTGAAACTTGAAAATAATATAAAAAATATACATACATTTAATTTAAAATGTGAACATAAATGCAAATTGCATTGTCATAATGTTAAACACAAACAATACCTTAGTGAAAGGCTCTTATCGGCTGATTTTTATTGGCCATCTGGCAAGTCCTAACTATTTCCCACATATGCAGTGGCAGCATTTTTTTTCTGGACTACTTTTGTACAGTGTGAGATGAAGAGCGTGTTTTTCACAGGCCTGCTGTTACACATCTGAAAGGAATGTAGAAGCCAATAGTTTTCTTATGATGTAGACGTGTTACATTGCAGCATTTCTGCATGTAATAATCCAACGCTTGCTTTCTGTTTCTATTTTCAGCCTCTGACACATGTCTGTGCCAAAAACTTGGCGACGTTCGTTTCGCAGGAAGCCGGCAACAGGCCTGTCTTACTGGGACTGGCATTGAAGGATTCGTCCCTAGATTCAATAAAACAAATGAAAGACATCATCCAAAGCTGTAAGGTCTGGTAGGAAGTCAACAAAATGTACACTTCTGGCCACCTTGATGCCACAAATGTCATATTTTTCTTTTGCCTCTTTTTAAGTTTAAAGGATTCTAATCAATGCCAGTATTTCATAAAACAAAAAGAAAACCAAAGGACTTGTGCCTCATGATGGAAATGTATACATCTGATTTCATCCGCTCTTATCCTTTAGATTTATTCAGATAGGAAGAAACGTCTTATGGAAAACAATTAAGAGTTAATCTGGTTTTAAGGGTGTGTTCGCTCTACACCTCTGTGCTCTCAAAAAGTGAGGAATGTGCAAAGACTTCACAGAAAATGATTCAATTTAATCACAGACCCTGCATTTAATTTTATAATCTGTTATACTTTATACTGTTAATATGTCTGTATTGTCCAATGCAAATAGTCTTCAATTGTGTCTTGATGCAGAACTTCGAAATAAAACTGGTCACTTTCTCAAGCTTGTCCTTTTTCTGTCTTTCAAACAAATGTGACTCAATCATCTCTGCCCCAGTGAAGAATTGTTTAGGCCCTGGATCAACATTTTAGGTATCACTAATACCCCCATCAAACTGGAAAATTGTTCCAGGCCTTTTCTAATCAGGCTGAAGTCTGTGGCTCATTTATCAGTTGTGGCTGTATTACACAGGCTACTATGCAGTTAAGAAGTGATTTAGACTCCGTCAGCACATTTCAAAGCAGTACACTCTGCTTGTAATGTTTTACTGCAGATTATGTGAAAAAGTAGCATTACAGGTCAGCAGTCGTCTATACATACACACTGTCAGACTTGCACTGTTGTGTTCAACATTGACTCTCATATCCTTGTATTTTTTATGAAATAAATAAAATGTACTTGTCAAATTTAAGAGTAATTAGTTTTCTTACCGTATTAAGGTTGATGGCGTTGTGGAACAGATCTACTCAATCTACTAATAATGTGTAGTTCAATTATAAATAGTTTAATGTGCATACACATGCTGCTTTGAAGACCTATAGACCTGTGAGTATATACACTGCATTGAACAAGTTGGCAACCAGGCTTAAATTATCATTTAGATCTACATACATTTATTTATGTGTATTTTGTTCCTCTTTATTTGTGTATTTATTTTAAATCTCACCACTTTGGTTCATTTGTGTGGGATCCTGTGTGTAATTATACTTCTCAGACCACAATGGTTTACGTTTGCATTATTGAAAATATTATTTAATATCTGCTGCTCATTTGTTGAGTTTGCGTTTTATCACATGGCTTTATTTACACACAGAAAACAATGTTGACATAAAGTTCAACTTATCAACACAAGCAATCAAAATTAACAGTTATTTTCATTGTCGCTAGCCAAGTCAATATGTTCTTGTATTGCTTTGTTTGACTAGCAAACAATTTAACTATCTAGCAAATTGCAGCAGCTGAAATTTGACTCATATGATGATTTGATTATCAAATTGTTTCAATTGTCTAATCCATAAATGTCAGGTCATTTCAGTATTAGAAGTAACTGTTAAAGTGAGGATCAATCGTAGTAAATGTAGAGATGTAAGTACAAGTGTAACATACTAAGTTAATAAAAAATACAGTCTGATGCATTATAGCTAAAGATATATTAAAGGGTAATATACAATATTCATCAAAAGTATATTCTAGTTGTTCTTAGAATAAAACTCTCCCTGTAGTGGAGCCAACGTGATGACGTCAGACGCGGAGCTGCGCCCACGTGATCCCTTCACCTGCGCCCAACCTGTTTGTCTTGCTCATCGGACTCGCGGCAGAAACCTGCGTCGCCTGCTCAGGAAGTTTGCTTTCCTCTGGTTGCACAGAGTAAACGCTCCAGGCCACAGCAGCGTCTCTGCCTCTGCGCCTGTTTATCTCGGTTAATTCAAGGTTTCTTTATTCTGAGGTTTGATTCACCGGCTCGTTGGACTTCGACCTCGACGACGCGCCTGTCTCAAACAAGGAAGTTCAGGCTCCTCGACCCGCGGTAGATGAAGTCTGCGGCGAATGGCGGATGTTGACTGCTGTTGGTTTCTCTGAAAGCGGAATTGTTCTCCGTGTTTGCTCTGTAACGTCGTGACACCAGCCTGCTCTGTTTGTGGTCAGTGGGATAAAGCAGCTTCCAGCCTCCTCAGGACAAGGTGAGCACTCTGTTTACAGTAAAGAATGAGGACACTAAAGATGACTTCGTGTTGACGCTGTTTGTATGTGTGTTTTTTTTAACTGGATGTTTCTATATATAAGAACAGTGAAGTGTAAAAGTTTAGTTTAGTGCTCAGCAGGCAGCATGAACCCACTAAGGTAATATCCAGTAAAGACCCCAGGGGACATGTTCTTACATTTCACCTGTCAGCCCTCCACTGACTGCACCGTGTCCTCTGTCTCTTTCAGATGAACGTCTCTGTGGAAGACGTGGATCCCTCGGCCGAGAACAGCTCCATCGTCCACCTGCCTTCGCCGCTTCTCCTGGAGAAGTCTGCCGCCTCCAATGTGACCCTCATCCAAACCAGCAACGGCTCAATCATACAGGGCCAGATGTTCCTGAACACCATGGCTGCTCAGGGCCTCACGGGAATATTCGTGTGGTCCGCCTTGCTCATCACGTTCCACCAGGTGAGCAGAAGCCTTGAGGATAAATCACTGCAGCACATGAGCAAAAATGCCTCAGAGTGTTTTGCACTCGGTGATGTAAATGTGTAATCAGAGACAGTTGGAGTGTGAGAGAGTTTACCTCCCTCGCCAGAGGACAGAAACAAATGTTCATATCCGTAAAGGCTTATTACCTCTGCATACTTTTCCCATACTCACCTTAACTCTTTGTCTTATCTAGTCATAAAGTATGTCTTTCTTTCGCCTGCAGTTGTTATTCTTCGCACTTGCTCTGCCCTGGTGCATTGTGGGAATGTTTTACTTACTTTATAGTTGACGGAGGCCATCAGATTAAAATGCATGGAAATCCTTCAGCCAATTAAAGGACAATGAATACACAGCGAGTGTGGGGGAGAGATGGTTAAGAAGAATAAATGGCTCAACACAGGCCCTGTTTACCCAGAATCCATTTCATCGCTGTTGTAAATGAGTGTTTCCTCGTGTGGGTGAGTTACCAACTGTGCACAGATGATAGCTTATCATCATGGTTTTATCATTTGTGGAGAATGCAGTAGGGTGCAGTGTATTATCTGCAGGGAAATCAATTGATACTCAGATAGCATTTTACAGCATTATAAAGGATGAGGGTGTTGTTTTTCCTTTTCACTGCGGTTTTAATGCTCTGCTGTTCTAATGGCTCCCAGATTTAGTTGACGATTTTATAACCCTTGTATCAAACACGCTTCTAGCCATCATCCACGGGCTGGCAGCCCTACACCTGTATTATAACCATACTCACAGAGTTATAACTGTATCTGTTGTGAGGTGTGCTTAGTTACCTCCTCCAATGACATTATATTTATATTGGCGTTTGTGGCAATAATTCTTCAATCCTGATGGAAAAAATTGCTTCTAGTTTTTTTTACCAGCAGAATAACACAAAAACAATGAAACCAATTACAATTAAACTTAGTGGAAGGATAGGACATGGGTCAAGAAAGAGCCCAGCAAGGTTTGGTGTGGTTTTGCACTAATGGTGATCCAGGAACAGTCTTTATTTACTGTTGCAAGAAAAGGTGGATTGTTTCCCTGAGAGTAATTCATGGATCTTGATGAAAATAATCAGGCGTATTTATAATGACTGATATCTTTGAGTGTGTGCAATTTGGTGCATCTTAATTGAATTTCAGTTGACTTATGAGCCTTGGTGGAGATCTCTGCTCTTCTGAGTGTTATTCTAGTATAACATTTGGTATTATTTGTGGCTTGTATGCTTTTTAATATCATCAAGAAGCAGCAACATGTTGCATCTTGTGATTCCAAAAGAATAAACCTTGTTCAGGGATTTGTGAGTCAACACCCAGCAAATTGGTTTCTATCGTTTTTAATATAGTAGTTGTTTGGCCAAACAATTTCCAGGAAGACATTTTAATTGAACAAATAAACAGCAAGTGTACCGCAGGGAAAACAGGGCAAGTTTGCAACAGGCATCCGTCCTTTCACACAGAATAAAATGGTCTGCAGGACTTTTGTTGCAATGCTGGTGGTGTTACATCTGACTTTGCTCCGGAGGATTGCTATAGACTCTCAAACTCACATTCTGAATACTAAACACAGACAGACAATGACCTTAGATCCTCTTTGCTGTAACGTCTCAAGGTTTTTCCGAACAGTGTTTCATTTTTCTTAGAGGGCTTATTGGCCCCTTTTGCAACTTAAAGCATTTGGGTTTAGGGTGAGACTGGACTTCTCCCTGCAGTATGGCTGTGTCATGCTTTGTACATGACACTCACTTTTAGTTACAATGTGCAGAATCCCTTCAGATTTCTTTTTTCTTCTAAAATTGGATTCTTCTGTCCTTAACTCTTCTGTTAAGGCAAAAATAAGTCTGAGTTTTACCTGAGCTTGAAGCCACCATTTATCCTGCAACTTAGAATTAAAGCCAGGGCAGCGTTATGGCATCGAGGAGGACATATATAAGTACATCTTACGCCCACCCACAGTAATCAGGCTTTATGGTCCAGCCTTTAATGGGCATTTAATCAAGCCGAACGTGTTGACTAGAGTGAAACTCTGAACTCTGTTTAGAAGTACTTACATTCAGCTGCTTTGACAAATGGTGTTTTAATGATTTAAAAATGCTCTGAACCACTGATGTGTTTAAATTTTGTGGAAAAATTGGAAATTATCATTCAGCAAGTCACCCAAGGAATGAGCACAAACACTGTATGTGGTTAAAATTACAACAAGGTGGATTTTGCTTCTTGCTACTTATTTCTCACACTCAATCTGTGTTTAAAAACATCCATTACAAACTTTTAACAGGACAGTCCCAAACCGCATTTCCTGCCAATAGAGGGGCCATATATCTGTTTGCATAGATCTATGATTTAAAAAAAAAAAAAAGCAAAGATGTCTCCAAATTGCTTCTTGTTCTTGTTTGCAAGAAGTTGTAGATCATTTAGTTTCAGCAAGTATCAGCTAAAGGCACTAGTACAAGTAGATATGACTGCATGCTAGCATTTGGTGATACAAGTACTTACCATCAGTAAAAATTGTCTTGGCTGAAGTTGAAATCAGAGCTGCAATTACCAAATATTGTCATTATTTATTTATTTGCATTCATCTTGTTTTTTTCAATCAATAAAATAGCTTAGAAAATAGTGACATGCCCATCATGATTTCCTAAAGACCAATGATTTTTTTTTTTCCTGTTTGCGATTTATGATCACACAAGAGTAAAGCAGAAAATATGAACCCTGGAAGTGGAATGTTTGCTATTTCTACTTTTTATTAACAACTCGATCAATTAATCAATTAACCAAGTAATTGCTTGATTTTCTGCCACTATACTGATCAATTAATTGACTTATCATTTGTTCTGTGACTGTAATCGGTTGTGTGGGTTTTGTATGTTTTATGAATTCTCATCTCGTGTTTTACCCTGTCTCTTTAAAAAATTATACATATTTGTCAATAACGACTGGAGCTTAATTTGATCACTTTCGTTATTTGCCTTATGGGTAATAACCATCTTAGTCTATTTAGAAACTGGTTTGGATTTTTTCATGATCTGAATAATGAGTCATCAGGCATTACTGGAAAACTATTGCCACATCTCTGGTATTGCAGTAATATTCCCTAGTATGCTTTTGTTTTTAATAAGCAGTTGGTTTTAGGAGCTCTCTCTACATGTCTGTTATTATGGGTAGGTGGACAGTTGTGATGTAGAAACCATTTGACTGACTTCTCTATTAAATCTGCACATTGTTTAGTTGCATAGATCCAATGAACATTAGTCCGAAAGAAAATAATTTATTTGCAGAGAGGTTCGATTTGCAGTAACCCAAACTGTTGACATATGTCTGATCCGCACTCTGTGTCGGATCAGCGATGTTGCCACATGATGGCAGTTTCCAAACCGCTCCATGGTGCAATAGCTTTTTAAAAATGTATTAAATTTAGTGGGACTAACCATCCTACAGTCATGTGGTTGCATGACCTGAGAGATCAGCAGGAGAGACAAATGTACTTACTGATAAAAAAACATATTTGCTTGAGGTCAGAGCGAAGTCAGTCACCTCAGACTCTCTGCAGTGAAATGTCGTACATTTCGTCAGGGATTCAAACATTTATTTCATCTTTACGATGGGGCCAATGGGTTTGAAAAAGTTTTACACCAGTCTGAAAACTAAAGGTCAGAGAAATTATCTGATCTTTGCCATATGCTGTTTTTGTGGCCCTCCATGTTGTCAGCTGCACTATGTTAGCTTTATGGAGGCCATATGAGGGCATATGGGATGTGTCTGTGTGTGTGTTTAAAACTCAAGGCAAAGACCTTTAGCATCTCAGTGAAAATAAAACGTATTTATTGATCTTATTGTCTGCGTCTGTATGTGATGATAGAGCTGTACAATGAAAACTGTGACCGGGTCTAAGAAATGTTGTGCCGGGTCATTAAAATAGGAGTTTGCTGATTTTCTTTCAGCCTCTCTGCTGCATTTCACACTGACAGATCTTCACACAGGCAGAGACAGTGAGTGTAAGATTAAAATGAAGCTATAAATAAAACAGTCCAGATTAAAAAAAACACTATATTATTTGTTGTCAGCTCTCAGGAGGGTGAAATTCTTCACTGATCACACCCTTGAAATTTGTCTCACTTCATGGTCAGTTTTGCACAAGTTAGTCTTTCATTTACAGAGGATGCTTGATAAACTTGTGTTACTGTTGATACACAAAGATGACCTAATACTGACACATCTCACGGCTTATTAATAAATGTTCCGGTTTTATCATTGGTATTTGTGTATAACAATATACTGTCCGGTTTAGAGCTGAAACGATTGGTTGATATTTCAAAAAATGTATTTTCCGAAGCAAAGACCCAACCTTACCTGGTTATAGCTAATGAAAACTGAATACTTTATGTTTTTCTTTGTTTTGAATCGATGTTGGCTCTGGACTGGTAACAGACAATTTGGAAATCTGTCGGAGGCGGTGGGAAATAAAAAGACCATTTCAAACAATAATTTGCCCACAAATCAATATATTGAATAGACATTTAGATGGAGCCTCAACAAAGTTACATTACTATTGAAAGCCATTATTTTGTTAGATATTGTAGAGCAACCACTGTCTGTTGTCATGGTAGTGCTCATGGAAAATCCATGTGAATGGCTTATTGTGCAGGCTGCACTGCATCATGTTTTATTTGAATCTCTTACATCTTGTGCAGAAATGAAGTTTTCTTGCTTAATTCATAACTCTTTACTCTGATGCATCACACTAAACATCGATAAGATGCTGTATTGTTTACTGATGTTTTTCTTGTGTGTTTTCATTGTAGATCTATATGCACCTTCGATCCTACTCGGTCCCCAACGAGCAGCGCTACATCATCCGCATCCTGTTAATTGTGCCAGTTTATTCCTTTGACTCTTGGCTCAGTCTGCTCTTCATCAGCAACGACCAGTACTATGTGTACTTTGATTCCATTCGTGACTGTTATGAAGGTAAATATAATAAGATCACCCCCTTTTTTTCTTACTTGCATTGATCAGCCACAATATTAAAATCAATGTTAATATTGTATTGTCCCCCTCATGCTTCAGTCTCCACAAGACCTTTGAAGGTGTCCTATAGTATCAGGCGTCAAGACATTAGCAGCAGATCCTTTAAGTCATGTAAGTTGAGAGGTGGTGCCTCTGTGGATCGAGGTTGTTTTTCCAGCACATCCCCCAGATCTTTAAAGTGAGAGATCTGCATAAATTTGCAGGCAGAGGCAACACCTTTAAGTCTTTGTCAAACGCCTCCTGAATAGTTTTTGCATTGCGGCGGGGCACATTATCCTGCTGAACGAGGCCACTGACACCAGGTTGCATTAAAGGGATGTACTTGATCTGTAACAATGTTGAGGTAGGTGGTACGTGTCAACTTAACTGTCAAGTTAGAATGTCAGGACCCGAGGTGGCTCTGCCGTCATGCATTTTTCCTTCAGTGCATCCTTGTGCCATTGCTCACACAACCTTTGTCGACACTTGCAGATGTCGGCAAACAATCAGTCAATCAATCAATCAAATTATACTTATATTATATTTACAAGTCGAAATTTTGCTCATAGGAATAAATAATCTGAA